AGCAGCAGCAGCAGCTGCTGGTGTTGTTTTGGTTGTAGCAGCAGCAGCAGCAGCAGCAGCAGCAAGGAGGGATAGCAGTAGTGACTTGGTGGTGATAGAGCGGTGGATAGTAGTGGTGGTGGTGGTGGTGGTGGTGGTGGTGCTCGTGGTGGCGGCATCTGCATGCATCCATGCGCCAGCTCCTCACCATTAAAGTGTCCAAAAGCCGGAGCCCATGCCTTTCCAAGATGTGCCATATAATAAGGCCTAATGAGCCCAGTGGCTGGCCTGAGGCTAGACAATCCCGATGCCACGAGTGGTGTGCGCATGCTGGTCATCGAGAAGCAGAAGAGGACACTGAAAACGGCTGATTCAGGTGTTGGGTGCACTTTTTTTGTTAGTTGCCGGCGTCCCGGAGTCCTGGAGTTTGGAAGTCTACCGGAAATAGAGCTTCTGCTCCTATAGTGCTTGCGCCGCTTCGGTTTCTGCCAAGAGTCTTTCTGCCCGAAGGACTCTTCGTGTGGCGAAGAGGAAAAGTCCGCAAAAGAGGAAAAGTCCGCGAGCACGGCATCTCATAGTAGTCGTCATCGTCGTAGGTAGTCTAGTAGCACCTCGGTCTTTCGGCCCAGCCCCCAACATCATTCGAACAGAACACCAGACTTCCGGCTTCCCGAAGTCTCGGCCCTCGGCCCGGCCGAGGCGCCCCTCTTGTGAAGGTGAGGCAGTAGTGCAACGGAGGTCTTAAAAATCGAGTAGTCGTGTTCCCTTGTAGTTCCTCTTCAAGCTTGGTGTAATCGACCCCCCAAAATCCTATTGGTGTTCTAATTGGCGGCCGTTTTGCAAGGTGGCCTCCTTCAAACACTTGCACCGTTAAAGTGTCGCCTGAGATTGAAGTTCACGGCGTATGAGTCTGAAACCACCCCGCCGGCCGGGGTACACTTTATTTTTGTGTTATATCATTGCACTCTTGCTTGTAGCTTTGTGGCAGTGAGCCCGGCCCAGATTCTCAGTTTCTTCATCCAATGCTTTCTTATGACGTACTGTAGTGGGAGGAGTGACCAAGATTCCAGAACGTGCGTATTCTGTCATGTGCCGGGTTGTCGAAGCCATTGAGTTTATTTTGAAAGTTGCTTGCAGCACAAGGTTATGAAAGCTTCCAATCCTTCATGGGGCTACGACATGAATGACCCCGGGCAGCTTACTTGGAGGTAGGACTGTCCCAGCACGCCGTGATGCCTCCGCAAGGTCGTGGCTGTGATCGACTTGGGCCTCCATCGCCGCATGGGGCTTGGATTTCTGTGTTATGCAGTGTATGCATGGAGCATGGAGTGTAGCTGCACTTGGAAGGGGAGGGATCCCGTATAGCTCGGATAGAAACGACGGCGACTGCAGGCATGGACCATGATGCGACGAAGGGCATTGCTTCCCTGGCCACCAAGTGGCCGCTGGCCCCGGCTCCGGGTTTCCCAGGGTTGGGGCCGGACTAGGTCCCCAAATCCCGACAGTGAAGGCTGTGACACAGCCTTGGCCTTGGTTTGCCCAGAATAGCCCAGTGCGGAAGCCATCACGACTACGTTGCTACGAGTCGCCGCCCTCCAACAATGACGCCGATGATTTTTCTTTCGGTTCTCATTCAGCCACTAGCAGCCGAGGGTCGGCTCGTGCGTTCGTAACGAGAGGCAGTTTGGAAGGACGCGTGTAGGACTGCGCCTCGGCTCCTGTGTTCGGTGCCGTCGTACCCTTCAACCAAGCTCAGTGCCAGCCTAACCCCTAAACTCCGAAACTCCGAAACCCTAAACCCCCAACCCCTAAGCCCCAAAGCTCCAAAACTCCTAAACCCGAAACCCGAAACCCTAATCCCCTAAGCCCCAAAACTCCTAAACCCCCAAACCCCTGAACTGTTCCGACGGCCTGAGGATCTCCAAGGCTGCGGCTACTCAGCGAAGTGGGCCGGATGCCGAGTTTGACTTGTTTACGGTGGGTTTCGGGTACAGGGTGTAGAAAGTTTAGGATTTTAAAGCATCGTATTCTTGTTTCGAAAGCGTTGAAGAAGAGTTTTTCAACTCAGGTGCTTCGTCTGACTTGCCGCAATTTCAATACCGCAGGACGCAGGATCCGCCACTTGTACCTCTCGCCCAGCGGCACTGTGTGCTTAATAGAAATAAGTAGATAAATAGATAGATAAATAAAAGTATATATATATATATAGATATAGATATAGAAAAAGATATAGATATAGATATAGATATAGATGTAGATACATTTATAGATATAGATATACATATAGATAGATCGATAGATAGATAGATAGATAGATAGAGACTCCTACGTATAGTATTCTGTCTGTGTCTCACGAAAGTGTCAGGCGCGCTGGGCGGACTCAGCCCGGAATCTGCCTGCGGCTTTATCCGAAGCAGCATGGTGCTCAGGGCTCCACCAATAACTGCAGCAGCGACAGTAAGAAGACTAGTCGCCATGCTAAAGGCCTCATCATGATACAAGCGGTTACCACTGTTACCACCTAATAATCGTGACAATGAAAGCAAAGTTGAACATAAAATATAGTGATGATGCGTTAAAGCCCTGTTGCTGTTGTCCGTTTCATGCTGTCTCTTGCTTGCTGTGCCGTTCTGCTTGTGCTCGCCTGAGCCTTCTGAGGTTCCATGCCACGGCCATGCCCGACTTCGAGCCCCCGGAGTCGATGCGACACGGCCGAGTGTTGACTGCAACTGCTACTGCACAGCTGCCCTTCCTACGGAGTTCCCAAAACTCGAGGCCAAAGTCGCTCGTAGCTTACATGTCTGCCGCTCGTAGATGCATCTGCCTCGTGGAGATTCAGCGATCAAGATATTTGGTGTGTCCTGTTCGTCGTGAGCTTGCGAACCCAAGCACCCTGGACCCACAAGCGACCGCCAGGTCCCTGTCTTTGGACCGGCTCTACCTGCAGGCTCCTTGGGCACTGAGCCCTAAACCGATCCTCTAAAAATCTCAAACGTATGTAACCTAACCACCAAGACCCTGGATTTCATTTCGAGTGGCGACGCGTAGACAAAAAAGAGTCTTCAACAAAAAAACCCACGAGCCTGAACACAAACCCCACACCCTGCCTGCATTACCGTGAACCTTCGCAATTTCGTTCTGCGGCCTGGAGCATGTTCTCCTGCGGGACTTTCAGAAAGTAGGGTTACCCCAATAAAGAGCCTTGAATGGCAGGATAATCTAGGAACCCCTAAATCAGGCACCCCTAACTTCTGGAACTCCCAAAGACACAAACCCTAAGCCCAAACCCCGGACTCCGAACTCCAAACCCCGAGCCCTGCCAAAAGCCCTACGTAAACTCTACGAGAGCCCTCGAAGCCCGTTAAAACCCCCAAAGAGCCCTTAAAAAGTCATCCCCACCGACTCCTCCGGTTCCCAAACCCCTGAGCCCTCCCCGGTTTCTTGCCTCTCACCCAAGCCAAGCAGTAAACAGTAGACCAGAAAGCTTTAGAGCCCTAAACCCTAAACCCTAAACAGTAGACCCTAAAGCTATAGAGCCCTAAACCCTAAACCCTCTCTCCCCCTCAAGAAGGCCAAGCAGTTGTCGGAGCGGCTGGGCAGGAGCCTCGACGGCCCTGGCGTGTGTCGGCCTCAGAAAGCGAAGGCTTCGGGCTCCCTGGGGCCGCGTTGGGGGCCTTTGTGTAGCTTGTTTTGGGGGGACCGTCTGGGTCTTTTTTGGAGTTGCTTCTGACATCTTGCTTACGTTTCCAGGAGGCACCGCAGCAGCAGTCGCATATGTTTTGTTGTATGTCGTCTTCCTTATGTATCAGGCCGCGGCAAGCAGCACAGCTTCTGGCGCAGATGCCCGAGGTGCCTGGCATGCTGGGAGTAGGGTTAAAATATTCCGATTGAGCCGCTGTTATCTCGCCGTAATCATCGTATGTAAACAGCAAACAAGGAGGAGGAAGAGGAGAAGGAGGATTTGAGAGGGAAGTAGAAGAAGTAATTATTTTGGCTTCAGCGTCGCAGAGCTCAATTTTTAGGTAGATGGCCTGACACAAAGTAGTAGCAGTAGTAGTAGGAGTACGAGTAGTACTAGTACTGCTACCAAGGGCAGAGTGCCCGAGCTTCCTTTTGTGCTTGTGAAGTCCGCTCGTGAGGTCCGGTCGATCGATGTCGATCGTCAGGCCCAACATGTGAGCCCCCTACGGCCCTACTCAGCTAGAGACACAGTCAGCTAAGCAGTAAATATTTGTTGTAAGAATTCCGCGGAGAACTGGAATGGGAAGGGCGATGCTACCCGTAGGTGATTGAAATGCTGGAGGCAGAACTTTAGGATTGTTGCCCTTCAGGTGCAGGGTCGAAGACTCGAAGGCTTTGAGAATCAAGTGGTTGAGGGTCTTCGAACTTCTTAGGCTCTACACCCTGCGCTTTAATTGCAGAGCCAAGAATTGTGTTTGTCACAGTTCAGCGGTGGGTGGCATGTTGAGCAAAGACGTTGCCATGCTCAGCACTTTTGACTCATCAGAAGCAAGAGTAGGCGCCATGGTGGCTGGAGTTGAGCTTCAACAAAAGCTGCTGCAACGGTTGCGGATGTTGCCAGGAGAGGCCCCGCAGGCCGACGAGGATCGCTTGGAGGCTATCTCTGCCGAGGCGAACAGGCTCAAACAACAAATCGTGGATGCCAAGAAGGAGAAAGACTTCGCCAGGAGCAGGAGACAAAGTATCGAAAAGGAATCGGTCTGCGAGCACACGAACACAGCGAAGCAAATCGCAAACTATCATTGTCGGTTGCAAGCTATGCACAATACTATTACAGTGGACAAAGAAGAGGCGAATAGTCTGCGACAGAATTGTCGCAATGACGATCGCAAGAAGCAGAGCCAGCAGGCGCTGGCTAGGAAGCTGAAAGAAGAGGCTGACCTGTGCAAGGCGCACAAGGCCAAGCTAGTTGTTGAGGTGCAGACCGAGTCGGACAAGATGGCTGCTCTCCGAGCAGAAGTGAAGACCTACGAGCAGCGCTTAAAGGAAGCGCTGGAGCGAAAGGTCTTGGCGGAGGCGGAGGTCATGGCCGCCAAGATGGCGCAAGCAGCACAGGAGCAGTTGGAGAAGGAGGAGGAGGACGAGACGAGGAACGTCACAATGATGACTGGGAGCGACGATGAGCAAGAGGAGGACGACGAGGAGGAAGAAGCACGAGTCCTGAACGACTTAGAGCTCTCCTACGAAGGCTTGGAGTTGTCGTCGATCATGCCCGTCCCTGCAGCGGTGCGGCTGGCCACAGGCCACATCTCACACCAAGAGAAGATGTCAAAAGCCGACATCCCTGAAACTGGCATTTTGGAGAGAGAAGGCATCGAGTTTGGCCGATGGACGCGGCCGTCGCCCAGCGGAAACAAGGATTGGACCGAAGAGGAGCTGGAAGCCGAGTACGGCGAGCACCTCAGAAACTTGGAGAAGGTCCTCCTGGAACTTCGGCAGGAACAGGCGGAACAAGCGGAGGAGCGACGCTGCCAGTCGCGGCTTGCCGCCCTCAAGCAGAAGAAGAGGCAGGAGGCTGCAGCGGCTGCAGCTCGTGCGGGAAAACGCTTCCCGTGGAGCATGGGAAACTGGTTGCGGAGTGAGAAGGCCGAGGCCCCGACACCAAAGGTGCTGTGGTGTCCGGGTTCACCAATTTCTCGCCGTACGCCGCATTGTGTCGTAAGTACACAACGCTTGCAGTCTGAAGCGAGTGCTCCGTAGCACGGCTTGCAGGTGTAACATTGTCATGGTCGTCCAGTGTAGAGTTTGCTCTACCTGCATGGCTTATGCATGAGAGTTTCACGACGAATGTGTTTTCACGCAGCAGTCCGCATCACCAGCAGTTTTCCACACATGGAACCTTGCATTTTGCCCGACTGCTGGCCCGAAGCATCGAAGCCAGAGAGACATGAAGTTGATCGGTCTCCGTCGAGGCATACACAGAGCATGCACAGGTAGTGTGGCATTTCGATGGCCGAAAGGGTATGACGAAGTCAGCTAACACCGCCACCACGACGACGATGACCCTTTCCAAACCCAGTGATCCCTTTCGAACAGGCGCCGGATCTGAAAAACGTGGAGCTGGCTCGGGAGCGGAATGCCGAGCTGGGTGCCATCTCCGAGTGCTCGGAGGTTGGGGGATATTGAGAGTAATATCTCTATCTCCAACTCCATTTATACCTTTATCTCTATCTGTATCTATATCTGTACCCATATCTGTAAACATCATTTTTCTATATCCGTTTTAGGTAGTTCTCCAAATTAGGGTCCCTTTCTAGGTCACCAAAATAGTACGCACCCTTAAAAAAGGGACTTAAAATGGGACCCTGATTTAGAGAACTGCCCAGATCTATATCTATATTTATATGTTTATCTATGTCTATATCTTTACCTCTCTCTCTCTATATATATATGTGTGTGTGCGAAGTGCCTAAGTATATACATACATACATACATCCATGCATGCATGCATGCATGCATGCATGCATGCATGCATACATACATACATACATACATACATACATACATATATATATACACATGAACACATTCCTTCATTACCTCATTCCCTTAATTCCTTCCTTCCTTCCTTCCTTCCTTCCTTCCTTCATTCATTCATTCATTCATTCATTCATTCATTCATTCATTCATTCATATTCATTCATATGGGGTACAATGTGGGGTATACTGCATCATATATACTATGTACTTCGTTATAGGGGTTTCTAGGATGGTTTTGTGGTTGGGATCTTGGGGTATAATTCCTACGGTGGATGTCCCATGCTGTGTGAGCGGGTGTTTGTGCCATGCAATAAAGGGCAACGATCACCCTAACCTATTTTGGAGTTCCCACTTTCATCAATGTCCTCGTGGCATGGTGTTGTGCCCATTTCCCGGACTTCGGAGAGCAAAGCAGGCGTGGTGTTCCACTGTTTGGGGTCGTAATTATGAGAAGGCAGGGGCCTACGTCCTGTGGCATAAGGGGGGCTAGTGCTAAGTGCTCCTGAGTTCCAGGCACCACGCCTGCCCAAGGGATTTGAAAGGGTTTGGAGTTTAGGATTTTCTTAGGGTTTGGGGTTGAGGCTTCGAGTCAGTATTCCAGCAGAGTCACCCCCAAGCCACACGGAAGTGGCCGAGACTCCTCGGCTTTGCATCGGGCTGTGGCTGTGGTTGCTGCACGCTCAGATGCTCAATGCAGGATGCGTACATCACAGCTTTGGGGCGGCTGTGCTTGCAGCTTCCCCTCGACCTGAAGCCCGGAGCCCAAGGAAGTGTAGGGGTTCCTCTCAGCCCTTGCTGAACCCGAAATTCAAGCCGCCCAGCCCGCGAGGCTCTCTAGACTCGTCTGGCTGGGTGCCCACTTCGGCCTCATGGCCGATGCCGTTGTCCTGGCGCCGGGAGCTCACTGTGCTGCCTTACGAAGCAGTTCTTTTTTTTTTGTGTTCGTTCGTGTTTGCGTCTGTGTGTGTGTGTGTGCACCTGCAGGGGGCCCTAGGTTTTTTTTCCTAACGTTGGCTCTTGTCTGGGGCCCTTGGTAGGGTTGGCCTAGGGCCCTGGTCTTCTGGTCCTCTGGTCCCCTGGTCCTTTAGTCCCCTGGTCCCTCCCCACAATAGCTTCCTACAAAACAAGAGCAAATGCTGTGTTCTTGTATTTGCAACTTGGCAGGGTTGGCCTAGGCCCTTGGTCCACCTGGTCTGCTTGGTCCTCTGGTCTTTGGTCCCTGGTCCTCTGGTCCCTGGTCCTCTGCTCCTCTGGTCTCTGGTCCCCTGGTCCTGCGGCTCCAACCCCCTCCACTCTCTTCTTTAGCCCTGCCGTGGGTCGCCCGGATCGCGGGCCACAGGCTGCGGCCCGTAAAAAGTTGGGGCTGGGCGAACCATGTTGGTTGACACACGAGAAGACCTCCCCAGGCATGCGTCAAGACTCCATCGACAATCCTTCACACATGACCCTCTAAGGTCGGTGCTGAGCTCCTTGGATAGTTTCTCGATGCCAAGCCCTCTCTTCATGCGGGAGGATGGGGCTTTTGGACTTTGGAGGATCTGCCTTTCGAGGTTTCAAGGTGTTTCGGCTTCCGGGGTGCTCTTGGGGAGCAAATTCAGGCCTCCTTTTCTGGATTCGACACAGCTTCGTATTCTCCCGATGCCCAAATTATAGGACTCGTCAGCCATAAATGACGATGATGCTGACGACGATGGCGATGTCGATGACGATGACGATGATGATGATGATGATGAGGATGAGGATGAGGATGAGGATGATGCTGAAAATGCTTTGCTGATGCTAGGTGTACTCATTGCCGCAGTGTTTTCGTAAAGGAGGGCAGTGTGTGTCGGCGCGCTGCAGTTGGTAGAGCCACGGAGTATCATAAAAGCTAACTGTCAATCATCGCGTCCCTTGAAAGTGCGTGGCCCAACTTGAATCACTAATCCAGTTCCCCGTGACCCCCGTGTCGATGTCGCTATCATGCCATCTTGTGTCACACATCTCAAACTATGATTATGTTAGTGCCTTTTTTCCTTAAGCAGGAAGCCGATTTCGTGGAGCGCCTGCGCTCGGCAGCCTCGGCGAGGTGCGGCACAAAGTGTCCTATAGACACAAAAAGCGGAAGCATGGCATAAGGAATAGCAGTTTTAAGGACATAGCAGCCATCTTCATACCGTACCTGTTTTTGTTGCCTGGAGCAGTCTGAATGTTTCTGAGGCATGTTTCGGATCCCCTGATCCTACTGTGAGGCTTCCTTCCAATTCGTAGTGTCGGGATTTTGGAGCGGTCAGGTCTTTGTGTCCTGCGGCATATCGGGCGTAAGGGGTGGGGAGGGGTGGCCTGGAGGTTCTCGAGACTCGAACTGTCGATGGAGAGCCTTACGCAAGTTATCAGCTGCTGTCCGGGGTTCCCCTCGCAGAGCTGATCCCAATGCCCCTCCAGTCAGATCTAGGCACCTACTGATCCCCTCTTACCTTATGCGCGTTATGCACGTACCCTCAGTGCTGGACCCGAAATTTCTTGATGTCCCGACTGCCTTCAGGCTGCTTTTCGATGGAGGGGCCGCGATCTCGGTTCAGGGTTCTTCTTGTGGCTTGTATCGGGATAAGTGTTGGTTTGAATAAAGTCCTGCAGCCCACATTGGCTGCCATCGTTGCCTTGCCCAGAATACATGCGTAGTAAGACTAAAGGAAGTACTATAAAACTTGAACTAGAGGGACCCTCAACCTAAGCAACCCCTGACGGCGTTAGAGTCGGAGCCCCATTTTCTGAACCCCGGTCCCCTCAGAAAGTTGCCGAGGAGCTCTCCGAGCCCCTGATGCAGCGTCAGCTCTTCTTGGAATGGTTGGCGGAGTTTCACAAACATCATTATGTGCCCGAGGCTTAGAGTAAGAAGAGTAGGTCTGTTTGACGATGTCTCCCAAGAACATCTCTTCATGCTGAGAGCCGCCATCCTTTGCTTGGGAGCCTTCAGCTCATGAGCTGCAGGTGGGGTGACAAAGACAAAGTTCTATGGGCCAGAAGAAGGCTCTTGGGTGCCATCATGCCACTGTGCTTGCAAAGTGCCTCGTGCGTGACAGGCACACCTCCAATTTCTCGTTTCACTACTCCCTGTCTCGGGGCAGGCCAGGCACTCGGTTCTGGCTCTGGCTTTCTGGCAGCTTTGGGAGATGTGCCTTCGGGGTCCGCAGCTTCTTGTCCCGAGACCTTCATGCAGAGCTGCAAGACGAACCCGAGCAGGAAGACTTTCCGTGCTTCCGGTTGTTGTTATAATTGCATTCACTGTATTGACTCATGGTTGTATGATGAGGAAGACGAGCATCATCATCACTAGCAGCATCATCATCAACAGCAGCATCATCATGTTGTTACTACTGTTACTACTACTACTACTACTACTACTACTACTACTACTACTGCTACTACTACCACTACCACTACCACTACCACTACCACTACCACTGCCACTGCCTCTGCCACTACCACTACCACTACCACTACCACTACCACTGCCACTACCACTGCCACTACCACTGCCACTACCACTGCCACTACCACTACCACTACCACTGCCACTACCACTGCCA